GGGGGGGCTTCGCTCCTACATTATTTTACAGTCTTAACTTAACAATATGAAGTGCCTTGAAGCAATTATTGTTTTGATTTGGAACTCTTTACACAAAATTTAATTAAAATGAATGAATGAATTAAACATAGGTTTAAAAAATAAACTCATTAGCAGTTATACATTTCATATAGTTAAATCAAGGAATGGCCTTTTTTGTTTCATATAATTAATGTAGCACACATAAAGCTGGAGCAGCATTTAACCTGCTTTAGGTTGCAAGCAGTTGTCTCATTTGGCCAGGGTATAATCCAGCTTTGACAGTTTACTGAGTAAACTGGTGAACTGTTTACCTACCCTTGTTCTCCTGGTTCTCCCGGAGGTCCGGCAGTTCCTGGGGTACCTGGCTTCCCAGACTCCCCAATCTGACCTCTTTTACCAGGGGGCCCCTCTGGCCCGAGCTCCCCTTTCTCTCCTTTCTGAGGCCCAAGACCACCTTGCAACTTTGTTCCTAAAGAAACAAGTTCGAAGCATTAGTACATTAATGTAATTACTTTCCTCGGTGATCAGTAACGTAAGGGATTACAATCTGACATTTAGTTGAATTAATCCAGGAGCCGTAAGTCTGACCAGCACTTAAACAGAAGTCATTTTGGTTTCAGCAGACAGACTTTTGGAGATGATTATATCACGTGCAAGTCCCAATAATTCCAATGTTCAGATGTATGAATCTGTGTATTCATAGCTCTGCTGCTAACATTAGCCACAGGGATTGCTTCCAGAGCCATCTATGGTCATCTATGGTTGCAGTGGAATCGTTTTGGTGATGAAGGCTTCTAAGTGAGTGATAAGACCCAGCAATATATGTGTGGCAGGCCTAAGAAGCGCTGGCTGAATGGCCTAAATACAGCGCTTTGTTTGTTCTCTCCTTTTGTAGAGGATACATTGGTGACAAAATGATTTTTCCCTTATCATAACCTGCTTTTACACAGTTATGTTCTAGATACCTGGATCTCCTTTCTCTCCTTTTTGTCCATCACGACCATCTCTTCCAGGAAGCCCAGGAATACCTGAAGATGGTCAGAAAGTTCTAATGAAACTCAAAAAACCAATAGAGAACAAAAACACATCAGTCTCAACAATCATGTGCACAAAAATGCACTCGCCTGGCATTCCGGGCATCCCTGTAGCTGGACAGGTCTCCATAGCGATTAGCCCGGATATTGCCAATGAGAGCAGGGCACCAACAGTGAGGAAACAATGGTGGAGCATGATGGATAAATCCTGAGAGGGAGGAGAAGTGATGGAAAAAGATGAGAAGCAAACAAATAATGGAGCAAAAGAAGAGAAAAATGATGTTTTTTTTTTATTAGTAATGTCTTAACTTATATTGGTAGATAGACTGTAGTGATGAGGATTTATGAAGGGGTTTTTCTATAAAATGAAGAAATGAATATTTTGCAAGTATCTTTATGGCTCCACATTATTGTACTGACATCATAATCAATCAAACCCTCTCTGGTTCCTTAAGCTATTTTAAAAGAACTGTGATTTTATGTTTGGTCAGATCTCTCTTGAAAAGACATTTTTAGTGTGAGTTACATTTTTCACCTGGATAAGTACCCAAAATGTAACAGTATCTTTGCTTCTACCTTGTGATAGATGTACTCTTTCTGGCTTAAAATAGCTTAATATTGTTCATGAGAAAAATGTTAGTCATATTTTTCACAGATTATAGGCCAATAAGTCATTTATAACAAGTCATGTATCGCTCTAGGCACATGGATAAGGAGAATGGATTAGGAAAGGAAAGCAAAGACAAAGAGGAATGAAAGGAGAGGAGGAAACAAGGACAACATCAAGGAGAGAAACGAGCGCTGAAATAGCAACAAGTGCAAAATTATTTGTCAGAAACAGAAAGGTTTTTTTAAATCAGTTATTGAATTTAAATTCCTCTGTTAATGCACGGGACACACAAACATAATAAACAAACAGGAAACAGGAGACCCTTTCAATGAACGCTTCAGTGTAACAAACAGATCAATCAGTAGCTGAACAGATAATTCATCATAAATGTAGAAACCTCACCTGAGAGAAAAGACGGGAGAATAAAACCAACCACGATGAGTTAAACGCAAACTGAAGAGACGCTCGGAGTCGTGTTACAGTCGCACAAGGAAACCAAAGTCAAAAGCAAAGATTCAGCAACTTTACGTCACTGATTATTTTCTATGCTGAGCAAATGAAGTTCTGCATTTCTGGGTTTTACTGACAGCTGGAAACACAAGAAAGAAAGAGAGAACGGAGAAGCAAATCCTAAACTAGAAAGTTAGCAAAGTTACCAGAACCTAAAAAAAGGCTCCAGTTTTCTTCTTTTAATCTTTCCAAAAGATTTCTGAACATTTCAGATGTTTGCAGTTGTCAGGTGAGGTCTTGGTGATGCATAAGGAAATGGGTGGTTTTGTCATTGTCAAGAAATCCAATTAAATAAACAAAATTAACCACACCATTGTCTATTCATCAAACTGAACAAACTGAACTAATATTCCCTACAGTTTTTTCCTTAACTCATTTCAACTCAATTTCCTTTCCACGGTTCTAAAATATTACACCACATAGACTCAATGAAATAATCACAACCTCTAATCTATTGATTCTTTTTTCTGGACATGAATTTTACTGGGGATTTTTTTTTTTACCATTTTGCTAATCAAGATTTTCTGTCCTTACGGTCTTTTATATATTAATCCCTCTCTATGTACAAAAGCTTAATATTTTCCACTTTAAAGGTCAAAACATTTGGAGACTGGCATGTGCCAAAGACTCAAATTCAATATGTTGTTATTTGAATTATCATTGGCTTCTACATTGCTTTCTGAGGGATTTTGTCATTGTTGCTGCTGTTTAAATGAGTTTAGATTCCTCCATCAGCTCACACAGAATCACTGTGGATGTGGTGAAAGGTTGTGCTGCATGCCATGGCATGCCACCTATAAGGCATGAACCCTTTCTCGTGTGTTTTAGCTCTGCGGACACAAAATATCACATTGCATCATACAAAAATATCTGCATTAAAATGATATTTAATCTACATTTTGTATCATTGTTGATGTCTTGGGTTCTTTTGGGGTTTTTTTTATGTAACTGGTTGTTGTAACACAGTTTCTCAGACTTCTGGGATAAATAAAGACTTTTATATTCATAATATGGATCGGGTGAGGATATAAGAACAACTATGCTAAATTTAAGCATTACAAAATACCTCAATTTAGGAAAAGATTAAGGTTTAAGTTAGATTTGGAACAGTTCTGATTGTGTATCCCTGTTTATGGTTGCCATGGTGATGCATTTTGCCTGGAATAACTACCTGCTGCATTACTCATAATGTTGTGCTTACTGTTTTGCCCTCAGACTAAGCTCTTCGTTTTTCAGTGTAATTTAAATTACAAGCAATGTGATCAGTTTAGTTACTTTTTTAAATAAACAAACTGACATTTTTTTTTGTCTGTGTTACTTTTTATTTTGCTACTTGCTAATGAAGTATATTTAAACCTACAGCTGTGTTAGTCCACATTATGGTCAGCTAGCGTGATGGCAGACAGGACGGCCTTCACATTTTGGAAGTATTTGTATTATTTATTTAGTTCCGGGGTGATAGTCTGTCACATTCTGCTTTACATTTTGTAACCTAAATAAAGCTGCTGCTGCTGCTGCTGCTGCTGGTGAGGTCCATGGTGGAAGAGACTCTGAGGAAACTGAACCTGCTGCTGGTTATGGGGTGAAGTACAGTGGGGCAAAAAAGTATTTAGTCAGCCACCGATTGTGCAAGTTCCCCCACTTAAAATGATGACAGAGGTCAGTAATTTGCACCAGAGGTACACTTCAACTGTGAGAGACAGAATGTGAAAAAAAAAATCCATGAATCCACATGGTAGGATTTGTAAAGAATTTATTCGTAAATCAGGGTGGAAAATAAGTATTTGGTCAATAACAAAAATACAACTCAATACTTTGTAACATAACCTTTGTTGGCAATAACAGAGGTCAAACGTTTACTATAGGTCTTTACCAGGTTTGCACACACAGTAGCTGGTATTTTGGCCCATTCCTCCATGCAGATCTTCTCGAGAGCAGTGATGTTTTGGGGCTGTCGCCGAGCAACACGGACTTTCAACTCCCGCCACAGATTTTCTATGGGGTTGAGGTCTGGAGACTGGCTAGGCCACTCCAGGACTTTCAAATGCTTCTTACGGAGCCACTCCTTTGTTGCCCGGGCGGTGTGTTTTGGATCATTGTCATGTTGGAAGACCCAGCCTCGTTTCATCTTCAAAGTTCTCACTGATGGAAGGAGGTTTTGGCTCAAAATCTCACGATACATGGCCCCATTCATTCTGTCCTTAACACGGATCAGTCGTCCTGTCCCCTTGGCAGAAAAACAGCCCCATAGCATGATGTTTCCACCCCCATGCTTCACAGTAGGTATGGTGTTCTTGGGATGCAACTCAGTATTCTTCTTCCTCCAAACACGACGAGTTGAGTTTATACCAAAAAGTTCTACTTTGGTTTCATCTGACCACATGACATTCTCCCAATCCTCTGCTGTATCATCCATGTGCTCTCTGGCAAACTTCAGACGGGCCTGGACATGCACTGGCTTCAGCAGCGGAACACGTCTGGCACTGCGGGATTTGATTCCCTGCCGTTGTAGTGTGTTACTGATGGTGACCTTTGTTACTTTGGTCCCAGCTCTCTGCAGGTCATTCACCAGGTCCCCCCGTGTGGTTCTGGGATCTTTGCTCACCGTTCTCATGATCATTTTGACCCCACGGGATGAGATCTTGCGTGGAGCCCCAGATCGAGGGAGATTATCAGTGGTCTTGTATGTCTTCCATTTTCTGATGATTGCTCCCACAGTTGATTTTTTCACACCAAGCTGCTTGCCTATTGTAGATTCACTCTTCCCAGTCTGGTGCAGGTCTACAATACTTTTCCTGGTGTCCTTCGAAAGCTCTTTGGTCTTGGCCATGGCGGAGTTTGGAGTCTGACTGTTTGAGGCTGTGGACAGGTGTCTTTTATACAGATGATGAGTTCAAACAGGTGCCATTCATACAGGTAACGAGTGGGGGACAGAAAAGCTTCTTACAGAAGACGTTACAGGTCTGTGAGAGCCAGAGATTTTCCTTGTTTGAGGTGACCAAATACTTATTTTCCACCCTGATTTACGAATAAATTCTTTACAAATCCTACCATGTGAATTCATGGATTTTTTTTTCACATTCTGTCTCTCACAGTTGAAGTGTACCTCTGGTGCAAATTACTGACCTCTGTCATCATTTTAAGTGGGGGAACTTGCACAATCGGTGGCTGACTAAATACTTTTTTGCCCCACTGTAGGTTTTACTATGAAAGGAAGTCATGACAATGAGAGGTAAGCGCACAGTAGGTTCAAATCATATAAAAAGTATTTGATGATAAATAAAGTATTTGTAATCTCGTCATCTCATCAAGCTTAATACAAAGAGATGTTTATTTCGGTATAAAGTATTGTTTTACTTTCACCCAGTTTCGGGATACTTAGGCACCAGACATACATACTTGAAATTTGGTTCAAACTGCTCACAAAGTTAATGCCAAATGAAAATTTTTAACCCATGGTCCCAAAAACTGACTCTTGGGGTCCTGACCAAGCATGACTGATCCTTTACAAAGGTCACCTAATCATGAATGTTATTCGTTTGTGAACCACCACAGTGAAACTGGTATAAAAGTGGGATTATGAAAGTACAAGATTCTGAAACGTTTCTGACTCATGACAGAATCTGAAGAACAGATTTGAGCAATTCAACCAAATGTACACACAAACAGAAGTTAGAGGTCTGCTGAGATACAAAAGTTTACCAAAAGAAGAAGTGCGAACAACAGAACATGTTTCACTTCCCTCACCACCTTAGGAGGGGCTCACATGAAATATTCCTGTTTGATAAATTAGACAGCTAAAGGGTGATGGGCAGTAAAAGCTGTTTGTGCATGGGCAGAAATAAATAATTTTAAAAAAGAGCAAGGCAAGCAAGTTTATTTATATAGCACAATTCAACAACAAGGTGATTCAAAGTGCTTTACAGAGACATTAAAAACAAAAACAAATAAAAAGCATGATTTAAAATTGATTAAAAAAAACAGTAGATAAAATCAGAACAGTAGATAAAATCAGTAGTTAAAATGTAAGTTTTGAAATTTAAGCTTAAAAGTGTGGATTTGGTGCTTTATTCAAATGCAGCTGAGAACAGGTGAGTCTTCAACCTGGATTTAAATAAACTGAGTGTTTCAGCTGATCTGAGGCTTTCTGGGAGTTTGTTCCAGATATAAGGAGCATAAAAGCTGAATGCAGCTTCTCCGTGTCTGGTTCTGACTCTGGGAACTGATAAAAGACCGGATCCAGATGACCTGAGGGATCTGGAAGGTTCATACTGGGTCAGGAGGTCACTGATGTATTTTGGTCCTAAACCATTCAGAGCTTTATAGACCAGCATTAGAACTTTAAAGTCTATCCTCTGACGGACAGGCAGCCAGTGTAAAGACCTCAGAGCTGGACTGATGTGGTCCACTTTTTTGGTCTTAGTGAGGACTCGAGCAGCAGAGTTCTGAATGAGCTGTAGTTGTCTGACTGATTTTTTAGGTAGACCTGTAAAGATGCTGTTACAGTAATCAAGCCTACTAAAGATGAATGCATGGACTAGTTTTTCCAGGTCCTGTTGAGACATCAGATCTTTTATCCTTGAAATATTCTTGAGGTGATAGTAAGCTGATTTTGTTATTGTCTTAATGTGTTTTTCTAAGTTTAGGTCTGCATCCATCACTACACCCAAATTTCTCGCCTGGTTTGTGGTTTTTAGGTGTATAGATTGAAGTTCTCTGGTGACCTGTAATCGTTTTTCTTTGGCACCAAAGACTATTACCTCAGTTTTGTTTTTGTTTAGCTGGAGAAAATTGTGGCACAACCAGTCATTAATTTCCTCATGCATTTACCAAGAGCCTGTACAGGGCATCAGGGGGTAAAATTTTAGCATCACTCCATCTCATCACTTGCACCTGGATAGGACAAATCACACCACTCATTTTGGGGAATTTGATGTGGTGTGATTTGTCCTTACATTGACCTCTATTAAAACACTGACGATGTTTAATATGAGCAGCCATATTAACAGTATACACATATATGAATATATATACTGTAATGTTCACATATGTTCTCAAGAACCGGACGCTTTGATCTCAGTTTGTCTGTTTACTCAGTAACACAGGCAAATGGGCCGTTAACTCCGGGGAGAGTGCTCCGGTACAACCCACTCTCTTCAGCCTGGACAGTCACAACAACAACAGTGTGCAGAGATAGCCAACCTGTCACTGTAAAATAACCTTTAACCATCGTTAGAATATTTTTTTAAAAATAGGCTACCCCAAAGATTTAATTTTTTATGTTTTTCGTTAAAAACTTTGCAGCCAGTCACAAAATCTATTCCATACATTTTGGACTTTTAACTGTATTTTCACAAGTTTTACAGTTTTTCCAGGCACTCCACTGAGTCTTCCATTACTGCAACAAAGCATAAAACACTGTTATCTAAAACTACAACTGTTTTACAGCAGTGGATTTTTGAAACTATTCCTGAATGTTCTTGAGATGACCTGCAGACGACATCTTCTTCAGTGAGAAATAATGGGCTTGGTGCTGACTGATATATTACAATCTATATCTGTGAGCACTGGAATCCAAAGAGCATGTATTTGGAAAAAAAACAAAAACCTTTAAAAGCATCAATCTTTAACTCTAGCCTTGTCTGTTGCATTGCATGATGTACATTGTTTAGTAGTTAATCTAGCATGTGAAAGCTCTCTGGTTCAGTATCAGGAGGAGATACAAATCACTGGGAGGTTTGTATCTCAAACACGCTGTGGCGACCCCTCCCATTTGAAATAGGTTTTTGTGGGGCTCTCCAGCCTTGATCCTGAGGAGGTTTTATATCTTCTGTATTTTTACTTTACTGGATGCTAAAGATGAATACAATTTAATTTATCAAATTGTATGAAAGTACATTTCTCATTGATTTAATATCAGCAGACACAATCACAATGAATAATAGCCTTCAATTTTATTTTGTCAGTGCTAATAATCAAAATTTACATGAGTCTGACATGAGTAGACACAAAATTACCTGCTTACATGTTCACATGAAATTGTGTTCTTTAGATGATAATGCATGTTAATGCTGTGATGCTGCTTTTAAAACAACAACTGAAATATGAGATTTTTAGATATTAAACTGACAAAGTGATGCAGTCTGGTGTTTGAGCACAGACTCCATTGTGAAGTTAAATTTCTGAGCGTACAGCTGAACTCTATGCTGGACTTGGGAAGAGCAGGAAGCCGTTGAAGATGATCTTTTTTTCCTGGTTCTCCCTGGTATCAGTAGGTCCCTGGTTTTCCCTAAAGGACTCAAGCCAGACCTTCTGTCCAACTGTGAGCTGTAAAACCACACCACCTGACAGCACCTGAAAGGCAACACAGCCAATCAAGTCGAGGCTTCGTGACAAAATGCTGCAGTCAGTGTAAAGAATAACCCAAGGCAATATACAGGGATATTATTAGAGGAGGATTTCTTTTAGACAAACAGATATTTGTGTGGTTGTTTGATCAAATGTTTTCCCTCCATGTTTCTCACTGGACCTGAAACCAACCTGCTCAGATTGCCTGTTTGACCTGTTATTATCACAGAATCCCAGGGTTCTTCTTGGTCCACCATAGACTATTTGCAGGCACATGCTGACCTAAAAACACACAACACACAAATGTTGGGAAGAAATATGGATAAGCTTATAAAGCTTTCACTGCATTTAACACACAATGTGCCTGTCAAGATGATAGCATAAGCCACACTAATGTGCACAATATGTATGATTTATTTTACAGTGGAACAGACAGGAGCAAGTTACCTTGGCCACAGAGTGGAAGTTGAAGTAATAGGTACCCTGTACTCTGCAGGTGAAGACACCTGTGCGTGTGTCAAGATCACCATTTGTGTTGACCACAACTTTTTGGTAGGTTATTTTCTGATACACAAACACACACACAAAGAGGAAAACAATAACCTTGTAACTAAAAACTGTAAGAGAAAAACGAGAGGCTGTTGTTTATGAAGCAGTATTAGGGCCGCATTAAAAAAAAGAAAAAAATATTGATTATTTGATTTCAAAGTCAAAATTTTGAGATTGAGGTCAAAAAGTGGCAGTTGTTTGGCTTCAAACGAAAAAAATGTAATCGTCACATTTGGACCTTGTTCTTAAAAGAGTATTTTGTGTCAGGACTCTGTGTTATACACACAAACTGTGACTTGATAAAACTGAAAATATCTGCATGGGTAAATATTGCTGAAGGGAGGTGACAAACTCGTGTGTGTGACATTAAGAGGGACTCATGTCCAGATATTAAGACTAAGAATAGGAGAAATGAAACATCTGAGGGAGTGAAAGGTGTGATGGGCATCAGACTGAACCTGGTTGAAGGCAGGATAATTTCTGTCGGTTCTGATCACTGAGAAGGCCGAACGGGACTCCTGCTGAGAGGTGTGTCTTGCTAAGAGAACACACACACACACACACACATACACACAAGTATGAATGATGCGTTTAATGTGTAATTTATAAGGTAGAACTCATGGCTATGTTATGAGACTGGACACTCAATGCTGGTGGTCACTCGATATTCTGATGTTACACTATGTGTGCTTATGAGTAACATGTGAATGTCACAAATTATGCACAAGATGCTGGATAACTGTTTGACTACATATGCTAGCTTAAACGTACCAGTAAAGAAAAGAAACTCTCATTTCCACGTTGCCCTGCTTTATTATCCATTGTGTAACTCATTGTGTACTCAATATGAGTTCAGCGTTATGTTTGCTGTGTTTTAAAAGATATACTCTGTATGTTAGCATATGGCGAGGTCAGAAATGATCTCTTCGTTACCTTGGGACAACCTGCCGTCTGGGCCAGGAGGACCTGGGGGGCCATCCTCACCCTCTTTCCCCAAATCTCCGCGGAAACCTTTTGGGCCCTGGGGTCCTTGCGTGCCCCGATTTCCCGACTCTCCTTTCTGCCTCAGTAGGCTGGCTGTATCCACTGGACCTTGAATCATCACAGCTACAAATAGAAAATGAATTATTCCACATCAGTCTTTGAGTTTTATACCAGTTGAGGGGTGACAAAAGCACCTGTGAAGACTTTGTTTCTTATTTATACATCCAGCAATTACAGAGTAACAATGTCACTCATTATCAGTGGAGCACGTCTGACTCTTTAGTGTAGTGGTTCTGTAACACACGGAGCATCAAACTGTAAACTAAAATTTCAAAGCACACCAGTAAATAGAAAAACACTGCAAAAGCACACAAAACAGAACGACGTTGAATAAAAACACAACAGTAGAGAGACAATAAAGTAAAGGAAGAGCTGCAAAAGTGACAGAAACTGAAACATGTGAAGATTTGCACTGAGGTGAGCTGAAAAGAAGAGGAGGACTAACAGTGAGAGAAAGAATGATAAAGTAGAATGTGTTCTAAAAGAATAACATAATAATGCAGATAAATGATTGTTATAATTCTAATTCTGTTGTTTTTATTCAGCTTCTGTTGTTTTTATTCAGCTTCTGTTGTTTTTATTCAGCTCCTGTTGTTTATTTTTTTCAACTTCTGTATTGACAGTTAAGATAAAATAAGTACATAAACCAAGTGCGGTAAGCAGGTTAATGTTTGTGCATTTAGCAGGGTGTTACCTGGCTCTCCTTTCTCTCCCTTCATTCCAAGCAACCCATTTCTGCCCGGAGCGCCGTTCACTCCTCGCTCACCATCAGCTCCTTTGCAGCTCACTTGACATTGGACAGCCTCCAGAAGTATGGCCACGCCCACCAAGACCGCTAGCCCATAATTACCACCCATGGTCCAAAACACTGGATTTAACATTTGATTGGAAAGATGAATCTGGTCAAAGTCAAGAGTTACAAATAAGAAACTATGTAAGAAACAAAGTAAAGACATAAACATTCTGTCTTTTTCTACATTTATTCTGCTTCCTCAAGACACTTTATATTTTGGACTCTTGTTCACTTTTATTTCTGCAAATCCTGTAGAAACTTTATACAACAGCTATTTCCAAGCATATATTCATAAATTTCAATTGAAACAATTCAATAAACTAGAATAGAATAGAGGATAAAATGACACATCACATTGTTGTATTGTTTAAGACTAAACCGTTAATAATAATAACTGTTCATAATCCTTCGGTACATTTAATTTACTAGAAATAACAAAATTAGTGGCTGATGTAAGCTTTTAGTTTAAGGGAAAGCTGGTTTACAAACAGCTTAAATTGATTTTGTTCTTGTTCACATTAATTGTAGCTAATTTATCTTTGATTAACAATCTCAAGGACTTGAAAGTTGGTCCAGAGATGATCCCACTGTGAACTTTATCTTTAAGTTATTTAACATTTCTATTATATACACTGCCCTGCTGTTGACAAACAAATATTTAACAATATTCCATGTTTTCTGTGTGTTGATGTGTTATTTTACTCACCTGTCGGGTTTTCTGATTGTTGGATCTTCAATGAAAGGACGGGATTTCCTTCTGTTGGTGAACAGACTTCTTATTAAACTGAAAAAATGAGTCAGTGGTTCATCCTGACACTTTCTGACATGCATACACACACACACACAC